AGCCCTGACCAAGCAGTTTCCCTTGAGAAGACACGGCAGAAATTGTTGAGGAGCAAAGACTAACCCTTTTATTCCCATCCTGTCTTTAAGGGAGGTCTCCAGCCCACTTGACAAGTAAACAGAGCCTTTCCCACTGCGGACTCCCCCCCTGCTCTCACATACACACGGGAATCAAGGCAGCCCCTACGAGGCGGATCGCAGCAGGCCGCAATACTGAACAAAAAGTGGGGAGAGAAATCAAAACAGCCCAGAAGTCACTCCCGGGCTGCTGGGTGAAGTCGGGGCGCTGGCGCATTCACCATTGCAGAGCGGATGCTTTACCTGGTGTGGCTGGAGCCGACAGTTCTCTGCCCAGGATCAGACCCTGTGTCCTAGCTGTTGGGAGTGGAGCGAGTGGCCAAGCTGGAGGTTCACGTTTGTTCTCCCTAGCCCGAGGTAGGCTGTTCTGGAGGGCTGGTGAGCCCCGGGGCATGGTGCCCTGGGCCACCGACTCTCCGGGCAGCTCGCCTGTGCTCACGTGAGCGCTTTTCTCAAAGGCTGCAAGCAGGAGGTGTCGGCACGTCTCTGGACATCCAGGCTCAGCAGGTTTGAAAAACGCTGACTTGTGTGAAGCTGTTTGCACTCAAGAATCTGGCTCAGGCTCCCAGGGAGGCCAAGTCCCTGACAGCTCAGCAGCGTGCGACTCATTGTGGCAGCATGGACACCAGACAGACGCAAATGCCCAGACGGGAGCAGTCAGCCTTCCAGCACCAGCCGGGGCGGGTACAGCCAAGCTCTCCCACAGGAGGCTACGTGGCACCCTTGCCATTTCCACCCGTCTTACTTTGTTGATAAGAGTCTCTCCCCCCACTTGCCCCAGGGCAAAGCCCGGTGATCAGGGTATCAGGTGTGGCCAGCAACAGTCAGATCTATGCAAGGCTGAGAGCTCCCAGTACCTGAGCTGGGTGGACAAGCTCCAGCAGAGCTGCTCTCAGCTCCATCGCAGCCCCACAGCTCTAGCACTGCCCTTCCGCCCCTTTCTGGGGTCTCCTGCCTCTCGCAGCTCATCTCCCTGTGAATCACTCACAGGGGCCCACTCTAAATCCGTGGGGGCCATAGGGATATTTCAGATCCCTGCGCTTTCCAGCAGCTCCCTGTGGGTCCAGCCAGCTCCTGGCCATACTGGGTCAGACCAGTGGTCCATCTAGCCCAGTATCCTGTCTTCTGACAGGGACCAGTGACAGGTGTTTCAGAGAGAACGAACAGAACAGGTAATCATCAAGTGATCCGTCCAGTCATCCAATCCCAGCATCTGACAGTCAGAGGTTTAGAGATACCCAGAGCATGGGGTTGTGGCCCTGACCATCTGGGCTAATAGCCATTGATGGACCTATCCTCCATGAATGTAGCTAATTCCTTTTTGAACCCCATTATAGTTTTGTCCTTCACAACATCCCCTGGCAATGAGTTCCACAGGTTGTCTCTGCACTGTGTGAAGATGTACTTCCTTTTGTTTGTTTTAAACCTACTGCCTGTTAATTTATTGGATGATCTCTGGTTCATGTGTCATGATAAAGGGGTAAATAATACTTCGCCATTCACTTTCTCCACACCAGTCATAATTTTATAGACCTCTCTCATAACCCTATTCATTTCTGTTGCCCTTCTCTGTACTTTTTCCAATTCAAAGATACGTTTTTTAGATGGAACGACCAGAGCTGCACGTACTATTCAAGGTGTGGGTGTACCAGGGATTTATATAGTGGCATTACAATATTTTCTGCCTCATTATCTGTCCCTTTCCCAATGGTTCATACCATTCTGTTCCGTTTTTGACTGGCACTGCACATGGAGCAGATGTGTTCAGAGAACTGCCCGCATGACTCCAAGAGTTCTTCCTACACTCACGGGGTGGGCAGCGAGGTTCCTCGTGAGGCCCAAAGGCATTCTCCTGCTCCCCTCTGGGGCAGCACAACAGTGGCTGTAGGGCCACCTGGCCTGCTCCTCTCTGGGCCCATTGTAGAGCGGTTTCTTTCCCCTCGAAAGAGAGCTAGGCCAGGGGTTGGCCTGCGACAGCCAGAGCAGTTTCCCTCAGCTGGAGTGATGTGTGTGTGGAGGGAGCCTGGCATTTCCCTTTGAATCCAGCAGTGTGTAACTGGATAAACCAATGCAAACCCAGGCTGCAGGGGCTCCTTCCAAACAGCTCCTGAAGCTTGGACAGCCCCAGCCCGCTGCCTTGATTCAAGCGGCAGCAGGCTCCTGTGCCGGGCGGAAAGCAGACTGCCCAGGCTGGGTGCGGCCTGAGTGGGAGCCCCTCAGAAAATGCAGGGAGGGCAGGAGAAGCAAAGCGACCAGGGCTGGAGGAGGGAAAGCAGCTGCTCGTTTCCTTTGGAAGTGTCCTGTTGCGGCACTGGGCCATCCTCTCCCTGGCTTGGGGCCACGTGCCGGCCTTCTGGAGCGGCATGAAGTGGGGAGAAGCTACTCGCTTTGGAGCTGTGGTTACTGGGAGACGTGTCACACTGTCAACATGGGGTTGGATTTAACATCTACGTAGATTTGTAGCTGGTGGCTGGTGTCCAGCCGCTCCTACAGATGTTCTGCTTACAGGCCTGTCTCTTCAGAGAAGAGAATCCCAGCACCTCCCACCAGGGCAGCTGAGACATGAGGGTGGCGCTGCTCTGTCCGCGTGAGCCAGCAGATCCTGCACTTAGAAACACAGGGCTTCTGAAAGGAATTGTGGTGGTGCTGAGCTCTTTGCTCCTTCAGGGCAGGCTCCTCTCGTCCTTCTCCATGTGCTGAGTACACATGGGCTCCAAGGAGCGGTGAGGAGGGTGCTCACACCTCTGCCATTGCCTCTTCCATGAGGGTGGAGCAATTCCAGAGTCCTGTCTGGAGTCGAAGCTTTAGGGGCTGGGCTCCATAGCCAGGGACACAAGGCTGGAGGCTAAGGCGGTGATCATGGTCTTCAGATTGATGCTCTTCTGTCAGGGCTGCAGGCGGCTTGACTCCGGGTGGCCAGGCCTCAGACATGGGTTGGCTGCGTGTTTAGCCCCCTGGCGTGGGTGGTCCATCCCAGTGAGTAGGGGGAAGTGCTGCCTTAAGGCAAGTCTAGAGCTGGGAAGTGAGCCTGGTGGCTGCATGTGCCTGCCTAGTGCTCAATGGTGAACCTGCATTAGCTGCCTGTACACGATTCTCCTCTTGGGGTCTGCGTGGCCTGCCCAGCGTGTAGACAGGAGACCTCCAAAGATGCTGAAGTAGTGTGAGCAATTCAGCCAGCAGGATGTGGGGAGGTGCTGTGCTGTTGGCTTTGCCCGCTGTGCTCATTCAAGATCCCTCGTGAGAGCTGGGGTATTTACTGCCCGAATTCCAGTGAGGGTAACGATGTTCTGCCTCCCTACAATTCAGTCTTAGCTAGATGCAGGGTTGGTTAGTGCTGATGGCACTGGACCACGCCGAGCAATACAGGCATGGCTGAGCCGAGCCCACTACTGCTGCTCCAGACAAGGAAACCTTATCGGCCGAGGGGAGGGCTCAGACGGCGCCACTTTCCCCATCGAGTGACACTGCAGCAGGGGGTGCGGCTGGGCTGAACAGCAGGCTGGGATGAAGGGGCAGCCAAGAGAAGACACTGCTCAGGAGTGGGTTTGGAAGGAGGGGGAGAGACTCCACAGGGGGACGGTGGGTTGCCCAGCAGCTTGGGGTCGTTCCCATGGGGTCAGACTGGCTTGGAGGATCATCTGGGGGTATAAAGGACTAGCAAGTGGCCCAAGCGTTAACAGCAAAGCAACGGAGAGATGAGACGAGCCCTGAGAACATCAAGCTGGTCCTTGGCCTGCCCCTGGCAGCTGTGCCCACTGGCCAGCAGGGGAGGAGCTGAGCACGGGGAACCTCCTGCCCACCCTGAGCCAGGGAAATGGAGACATTGCACAAGGATGCAGCCGGCTTCTTCCCAGCGGAGCTCAGGGGTTGATGCTCCCCCTCTGGATCTCTAGACTGTGCCAAGAGGCCTCCATCCTACTGTGTGGAACCAAACGCTGCACTCGGCCTCCGAGACAGACACGGGCAGCTGACCAGATCTGCTAGAGGGGACCAAAGGAGCAGGCCCGTCCACAGCATCTCTCCGCCTGCCAGCAGTGCGCCCTCACTGCTCTGCGTCCTCCTCTGCCAAAGCTGCACACGTGCCAGCACATCGACATGCCCCAGACTGGCCTCGGGCACGGTGTGAGTGAGAGGAGAGCAGAGCCACTTCACTTCAGCACCCCCAGCCGCCTGGCAGGGCCTGGCCACTGGAGTGCAAGAAAAAAAACGACTTCTTGGGCAGTAAAAACAAAATAATTTGTCTGGAGCCGAGCGCCGAGGTCAGAGCAGGACAGCGAGGCATTGCCAGCACGGGTGATCGCAGCTGGAGCCCTTTTCCAACTCCGGGCAGGAGTAAACCAGACCGAGCTGCCCTCAGCTGCAGCCTTCCGCATTTCCTGGGGAAGCGCCCCAAGGCCCGCAGGGCACTGGGACCCCATTGTGCTGGGTGCGGTACAAGCATAGGAAAGACAAACGGGCACCTAGAGGGCTAACACTCGAACAGACCCAGGCTGGACCAAGGGGAGGGGGCGTACATGGGGAGGAATCTGCACAGCGTGTCAGAGGCAGGTTCCTTCCTGGCTACAGCCTCCTCGAAGGCAGGTTACAATAAACCCATTTCTCCCCTGCCAGGCAGCCGTCCCAGTCAGACAGACTCCTAGCCTCCACTCCCCACGACCACCTCCTGTCTGCCTCACCCCTGCCAGGCAGCTCCCCCACCCGGCCCTGCCAGGGCATCTCTGCGCTCACCCCTCAGCTGGCCCTGCCAGGGCCGCCCCTCCCTTCCACACACATCCTGCATGCTCTTTGGTGAGCTCACTGAATGGTCTCCTTTGTAAGCTCCAGCAGAGCCTCACTTCTCAGCCTCCTGCACAGAATCCAAGACCCAGCCCCTCCTGCTCCCATCAAGGGACCAACAGGTGTCGTCAGTGAGGGGCCCTTACCTGGATCTACCTCCAAAGCAGTTTGTGCTGGGGGGCTGGTGTCTGCTCTCTGTAGCCAGAGCCATACAGCTGGGATCCCTCCCAGGCGGCTGGGACCCTGGACAATAAACAAGCGGGAAAAGGAGAAAGGAGTGTGAGAGGCTAGGAGACACGTGGGCTGCTGGCTGCCTCCCAACGAGGGAATCTGGAGAGAGAACAGCCCAGCACACTGGGGTGCAGGGACACCTGCCCCTCATGCTGCAAATGCATCTGATACGGTGTATCAAGGCCCCACGATACCCCAAGGGTCTCCACACAGGGCCTTGCAGGGGATTTGGAAGAGTGATGGCCCAAGGGATGGGGGCTAGTAGCAGCGGAGTTAGGCTACTTTCCACAGCGGCGCTCTGCCAACGCCCCTTCGCCCCAGGCCTGGCTCCCCAGCGTCAGTGCTGCCAGCCCTGGGCTCTGCGCACACAGCTCTGCCAGAGTTCCTCAGTCTTCACCTGCAGCCCCCACTTCTCCAGGCTTCTCAGAAGCCGAAGCTCTCAGGCCACCCCGTACAATGGTTTTCTCTCAGGCCACCTGTATCTCGCCGTGGCTCGGAACCCGGCACACGTGGCCAGTAAATGCACCAGCCCAGGGAAAATCCTGCAGCGCAAGGAAGCCCTGCTCATGTCAGGCAGGGAGCGGGCTGAACGAGCGCAGCACGTGACAGAGAACGAGACGCCCTGATAGCAAACGCACCCACGCATTGCTGAACTCCTCACTCTGCCAGGCATCATCCCGCTCTGCTCCCTCCCACCACAGGGAGCCCTGACGGGCCAGGCTCACAGCGAACCCATCGCAGCCTCCCAAGGCCCAGGAGAGATGGGAGAGGGGATGCAGAGCCCAGGCAGCAGCAGAGGGCCCAGAAAACAGCTGCACCCTTCACTTCCCTGGGGGAGGAGGAGACCTTTTCCTGCAGATCCCACAGCTCCCCTCCCGGGCAGAGCCACTTCCACAAGCTCTTGGGATAATCCGTCAGCACAAGGGTGAGCCAAGCCTTTGGGCAGACTGCACGGCGCTCTAACAGGCTGAGCTGGGGGCCTTACCTGGGAGAGGAGGTGGCTCCTGGCTCTCAGATGTTTGTTCACAAGTCCTTACAGCTGTGATCTCAGCCCTCCCCCACCGCCCGCACTCACCACCTCATGCTCGGAGCAGCGGCCTGCACGTGGAGATGGGCGGCACTCACCCTCTGTCACGGCACTGCCATTAGGCAGGCTTCCCAGATCAACAGTCGGCCCGTCCAGGAAAATCGTCAGCTCTCCGCCTGAAACAACGCTGCCTTTGTTCTCCGTCTGCAGGTTCAGGGTCAGCTGCGTGTTCTCCACTGGGGAGATGGAAGGATGGGGAGAAAGAGACAAGCCACAGTCACCACTACCTGAAAAGTTTCACCTAATTCTAGGTTCCACACCCTGCCCTGCCATGGGGGTTTAGACTCTCTCCATATGGCAGGAGGAGGAAAAGATGAATTCCTCAGCTTCCGGCAGGGCCAGGAGCTGCCGGGACACTGGTTGGCTCTGGTCCAGTTCCCATATACACCACACCAGTGCCCCAGCAACACTAAGCCACCAAGCCAGACCCTCAGCTCCCACCAAGGGCTGTCCCCAGCCCACGGGCCACGGCCTCTTCCTTCCCACACAATAGGAGGCAGGGCCATTCCCCCTGCACTGTCCAAACCTCCCGATGATTGAGGGGCCGGAGCCAGTACACGTCCCATTGTGAGCAGGCCACACTGTACCACCACCGGGCAGACTGGCCAGACGGGGTCCCAGTGGCTTTCGATACAGAAGACAGGATCTCGGGAGTATGGGAGATGGTGGAAGCGGAGCGCAGGGCTCCAGCTGCTAAGCTGCTTGTAATCATAACTCCTTCAGACAGCAAAGGCCTGGCACCTCGGGGAAGAGAGCGGCCGAGGGTGGCTGGGAACATGGAACGATCCCACGGCTGCACACATCAAGTCACCAGGGTGCTGGAATGGCCCTCACGTGCCCGGCCAATCGCAGCTCTGGGAGCATTTGAGAGGGCCCCTCGCGGTCACTTTGGAGGAGTCCGGACGGCAGCGCCTTGGGTTGGACCCTCTCCCCACCCAAGAGACTGACAAGGCAAGTGGAGAAAGAAAATCCCCTTCCTCAACCCCAAGGACCCGCTCTGCTGAGCGCCACAGGAACCAGGCTGCTCCCACCCTGGCCACAAGCCTCTGGAGACTGCCCGGCAGGCCGGCCGGCCCCAGCGAGGGGCACACTAGAAACAGAGCACAGCACGCGGGTCCAGGGGGCTGCAGGGCCCAGTTCGGCCTCACGTCAGGCCTGCAGCTTTGCTTCCCCCCTCGTCTGACAGCCAAAGGCTCTTGGGAGGTTGACGAGGTCCCACCAGCTGCAGCAGGCACAATGTGGCCAGGCACAGAGCACGGCACCTCAGCCTCGCCCAGAGCTTATTAACCTGAAAACACAGCTCTCCATTCTCCCCTCCCAGAGCCAGGGGACCCGAGCAGGGCAGAACAGGGGAGAGGAAGTTGATTAGCAAACTGAACGACCAGCAGAGGCACAAAGCAGGGCTGAGAGAACAGCATGCAACTACCAACGTTCACTAGCGTCCCTTATAACTGGGCTCTGCTCCATCTCACACACAGGCCTGTCAGCCAGCTGAGCCCTGCTCCTCTGGGCCCCTGGGGCAGAGCCCCTCAGCCCATCACAAGGCGGAGCCAGAGCCTTACGTTACACACGTACCAGCAAGAAGAATCCACGGTGCCCGTGAGAGTGAGGGGCTAACAGCACCAGTCAAAGCAAGGCACACAGTAGGCAGCAGCTGTGCACCCCACCCCCATTCCCACAACCCCTGCTACAGCGGGCTAGCCACGCCTCTGCAAAGTCTGCCAAACTATGGAGCTTCTTGATGAACTGGACCAGCCAGGACAAGATGACAGTCAGCCTCCAGGTCCCGGCCACGGGGCAGGATTTTGATAGTAACAACAATGCCCAGCTATGGCCAGTGAGCTTGGAACACCCGGCTAAGACACAGGAGGCCTCAGGTATTTGGCTGCCCCAGCCCGGGACACCAGCCCAGATGCCTCCCTGACTACTTTGCTCAAATAATTTTTTTATTCTACACCACTACTCATCGCGTTTGTTTCCTTGGTACCCCGACAGCCAGTCTCCAGCTCAGAAGTGAGGCAGCTTGGCAGGGGCTAAGAGAGGCAGAAGCCTTCTCAGCTGCTCCGCATGCGGCGCCTGCTGGTTCCTGGGCTTCCAGCCTGGCTCTCACCAGCAGCGCTCCCTGCCTTTGACAGCTGCTGGAGCTCAGGGTGCAGAACGGTTCGCGTGCGAGCGCCGCGTTCCCATGGTCAGCTTTCTGAGAGGTCCACCACGTGGGCTGAATGCTGCCCGATGTCTCCATGGCTCGCCCACGAGCAGCCTCACCTCCATCCTCCCAGCACCACTATCCTTGTCTGGGAAGCTGGAATGGAGGCAGAGGGATCACATGACTTGCCCAGGTCACACAGGTGGACCACGGCAGAGCTGAGAACTGAACCAGGTCCCTGTCCGGAGCATCCTCCCTTTCCAGCACATTCAGGCGCTGTCAATGGCTATCGCGAGACCAGCAAGCCCCAGGCCATGCCCAGCTCCGGAGTTGGATTGGGAGGGGCCTGGGGCTTTTCAAACTAGCCCTGGGGCTGCTTCTTCCCCAACAGCAATGCACCTGGCAGTGGCTGCCCCGGCTAGCTGGAGCTCAGGCCAGGAGGATTTCAGCTTCCCAGAGACTAACGCTGCATCGCATGGTAGTAAAGCGATCACAGGTATGGTAACAGCAGCCACTCTCCATCCTGGGGAGGACATGCTCTCACCACCCAGCCACGCTCAGGTCCAGCGCCTTGGGCAGCTGCTTGGTGGTGTTTGGGGGATTGTCAGTGCAGCTGTAGTGGAATTTGCAGAGGACATCAAAGCTGGGTGGCCCTCTGGAGAAGAGAGCCAGGTGGCGAGGGGAGAGCAGCGAGGGCATCGGGTGAGATTTGGTGCCACTAAGTGCCAAGCCCTGCAGCCAGGGAAAGGAAACAAGCCACTGGAAGACAGAGCAAAGCAGCAGCAGGTTTATCACCTCCCACTGCCGCAGGCAGTGCTGCCTGTGGAGTGCATCAGGCTGTGAGCTCTGGGGAGGCGATGTCACTCCCTCAGTGTCTGAACCGTGACTGACCCCACGGTGGGCACAACAGAAAAGCTAAACAGGAATAAGACGTTCCCAGGTGACTCTTGACAGTGGACCACAGCAAGGACAGACTGGAGCCAGCTCAGGAGATATTGGTGGGTGCTGCTGGAATTGATCTGCTCTGGCTTCACCCAGGAAAGGGGAGATCTGGGGAGTCACTGGAGGAGTTCCTCACTGGCTTGAAGCCTGAGCCAAACAACAAATGCTTCGGGGCCTCCCCTGCCAGGTGCACGAACTACCCAGCAGCCCCCTTTCCAGAGGAGCTGAGCAGCGGTAGCACCCATGGATTTCAATGGGAATTGTGAGCACTCGGCTCCCAGCTCAGTTTCACTTGTCTTGAGGAGAGGGGTCCCACTGGCAGGGGGAGGCCTGGGCTTCGCAGGGCTTTCCAAGCACATCTGTTTGCAACAGAACCAGTGTCTGCCGAGGAATCCCAGGCTTTTAGCTGCATCTGACCAGATGAGGGCCATGCAGAGAACAGGCCAGCCTGGTCCGAGACTGAGCCAGCCTCCTCTCCTGACCCACTCTGCCATGCACAATTCGGGCGCTTCTGAGGCCGAGAAGTAACAGGACCCGTGCTTACACCATGGCTATGGCACAGGCTTCCACAAACGCCATGTGCTGGAGGCAACCAGTCCTGAGATCGGCCCCATTTGCATGCAAGTCTCCTGGCCCACCTTCCTGACACAGACTTTCTGTAACTCTCAGCTCCCTGGGGCCAGTGGGGGGCGACAGGCACTATGGGGCAGTAGGATGAGTAATGCTCTCTCAAATTTTGTGCACGCACCACCTCAAGTTTTTATGTAGCCGACTGGCATCCCTCAACTCAGAACAATCCTTTCCTAACTGCTTGCTTTTAGTATGAGCAGAAAATCTTCCTGTGGGTAAAGCACAGATCTAGGAGTCACAAGCCCTGGGCTCCGTTCCTGACCCTGCTGCACACTCCCTGCATGACTTTGGGCAAGTCACTTTCTCCATCTGTACAAAGGAGCCTCCCAGGGGAGACCATTTCATTAGCCTATGCAGAGTGCTTTGAGATCCTCAGATGGAAGGTGCTGCAGAAAACAGCAAACCCCTTTTCACCGGTCACTGCCTGCCATAAGAACTCTGCTTCCCTCAAGCTATGGAGAAAGCCTGCCCCGCACGCTCCAGGCTCGCTCCTTTGTGAGCGGCTAGCAGCAAAGCGCACGCTGCTCTGCGGGCTACACAAGCCCTCATTGTGAAGGCTGTCTCAGCGTAAGGGGGAAGTTAGTCAAGTAGCAAAGACAAGGTGTCTCCAACTGGAGGATGTGAACCTCCCAGCCGGCCTCCTCCTCTTCCTTGCCTCCACCCCAGCCTTTTTTTTTTTAAAGAAAATAAACACTAGTCGAACCTTCCATTCCCTGTCCCTGTTCGGCACACAGGACGCACAAAGGGACCTCGCTGCTGCACCAACAGAGGGTCCCCTCAAAGGGTGAGCACAAAGGCAGCCTGTGTCCCAGCAAGCAGCAGCATGTCAGAGGGGTTATTAGTATTTTGGGAGGAGGCCAGGGGTGATTAGGTCCTGAATAAGGTCTCAGTTCAGCTGCTCCCAGTGCCTTGCACACAGCATCAGCACTCCCATTTAGCGAGGGCTGGCTGGCAATTCCCTCCCAGCCCATTAAGGGGATTTACAGTTCCAAGAAGTAAAGCTGGTAGCAGCAAGTGTGATAAAGGCTCCAGCGTTGAGCCCACACCCAGAGGGAGCTCTGGTCACTGCACACATCTGACGCAGCTCATTGGCGTGAGCATCACAAAACTTTCCACCAGGGCTGGGGCGGGACTGGCTCCTACTGGAGGCCTTTTCTCCACAGGGAAGGTGGCTTAGTCCAACCCGCATGTAGACAGAGACCTTCCGACAGGAGCCTCCAATACATGGGTTTCCTGCCTATTTACTCATCTTCAAGTGTGCTTATCACATTGCCATTGCGAGCTCAGACCTACGTCAACTAAAACAATTCCAGTGTAATCAAACCGGACCCAGCCACCTCCTCTCAGGGAAAGCCCGGCATGGGCTGAGCTTGCCAAGCACTTGAATGGAAAATGGGTCTAAATCCCTTAGACCAGCGATACTCGGACTGAGGCTCACAAACCGCAAGCGGCTCTTGAATGGGTCTCCTGTGGCTCTTCACAGCATGATATTAAAACCCTGGGATTGAATTATTAACCCGGGGTGGCCACCCTGCACCTGAGAAGGGCCAGAATTTACCTACGTACACGGCCGAGAGCCACAGTAACACATCAGCAGCTCCCCATCAGCTCTGCCCCGCCTGCCAGCGGCCCTGCTGATCAGCACCTCTCCCTCCTTCCCCATGCCTCCTGGGGGGAGGGGAAGGAGCGAGGCGTGGCAGGCTCAGGGAAGGGGGCAGGAAGGAGTGGGGCCCTTGGGGGAAGGGGTGAAGTAGGGGCAGGGCCTGTAGCAGAGTCAGGGGTTGAGCAGTGAGCACCCCCCACCCCCCGGCACATTGGGAAGTTGGCGTCTGTAGCTCCAGCCCCGGAGTCGGGGCCTGTACAAGGAGCGGCAAGTTAGTTCTGAAGAGCCGCATGTGGCTCTGGAGCCACAGGTTGGCAACCCCTGTATTAACCCATCGAAGTTATTAACCAACCAGGAGGCTTTTACTAGGTTATTAACCAATTGTAGTGGGTAAAACAACAACTCTTGGTCAGTCATTTGGCTGTGAGAAGAATATACATAAACTCTAAATATCTCCCCGTCCGACTGTTTAAACCTATAGTCGGACACTAAATGACAATGAATTCACCCGACCATGGCTCTTTTGGGTAATGCCGATCGCTAATTTGGCTCCTGAACCACGAAGGTCTGAGTACCGCTGCCTTAGGCCACCGAGAAGGCCTCACACCTGGGCTTTACACACTGCACTCTGAGGGGCAATTAACTCAGCCTCTGTCAGGCCAAAGGGAGAGGCAAACCCCAAGGCCAAGGGCCCAGCCCTGAAAATGCCTTGGCCCCATGTGTGCAAGTGCAGGCAGCGATGGCAAGGGACAGCAGATAACGACAATGGTGTGCACTAGCCAAGTGTAAGAGACCTGGCACAGGTGGGGGAGGAGCCATGCATAGAGGATGGCAATCGGGGAGCAGGAATCGCGAGAGTCAGGGACAAAGTTGGGCCATGGAGACCAGGTGAGATCTGAAGTCACAACAGGCCTGAAGTCTGTGGTTGCCCAGACAGCTTCCAGGGACTAAGGGGCTGTTTAATTGACACTCCGGCTCAGGCTGCAGCTCTAGAAACCTGGCAGGGTCCTAGACCCCAGGCTCCAGCCCAAGCTCAAACGTCTACACTTCAGTTAAACAGCCCCTGGCCTGGGCCGGCAACAGGGTTTTAACTGCCGCGTAGACATGGCCTGAGGCCATCATCCACGAGCCCTGCATCCTTCCTCCTAAAACACTGCAGCAAAAGGTAAAGCACCCAGCCCCTACGTCTCATCCTCAGAAGATGCAGCTGGTTACCTGCTGAACAGCCGTGTGCATGACAGAGGAACGGGGGACTGAAGGGCCAATACCAGAGTGGCAGCACTTGGCCCTCCGGCACCCCTTCACTTTGCAACCCACAGGCAGAGAGATGGGAGCGGGGCCTTTCATGCAGGAGAGCGAATTGGGCCCTGCCCAGGGTGTGCACCGAGGAGCAGGGTTAGCTGCATATCAGCCTAGTCCCACTGGCCATTAGCTCTGCAGCATGAGCGGAACAGGAGTGAATTGGAAGGAAACGCAAAGCAAGCTCAGCGAAGGCCTTCACTGGGGCATTCTGGTTTGGCACAGCAGCGTTTACAAAGTTATTGTACAGGCGCTGACAGAGCCGACTTGTTTAACATTCATTTCAGGCAGGCTACAGATTTGCTTTTATGATTCTCTGCTAAAAGAGCCTTTGCTTCAGCGAGCTCCTTTGACAGCACATTCATGAGGAGGGGTCGACTGCAACTTCCCAGAGGCCTGGGGGTTTGTTGCTGGCTTCCTGAAAGAATTCCTTGAGGTTGTGGCTCCAGCGGTTCTGCCTGAGGTGCAGAACGGAAAGCAAAGAGCGCGCTTTGCAGGAGCTGTAAAACCCTGGCAGATGGTGCCACTCAAGAAACAGGAGCCTGTTGATGTAACTTGCAACCTGAGCAGCAAGCAATAAAAACAAGAGCTTTCATTTGTAGGCTGCAGCCTCACACGTTCAAGTCACTCCAGGGCCTGCCCTGCTGTCCGCAGCTCAGTGAATTGTACAAACACAAGGGCGGGGGGGCGGCATGGCCCCATATCGGCTTCCATGAAGCCTCCAAAGCGAGGCCACCCGGGGACATTCCTCCTGCCCAGCACCAGCAGAGCACCTTCGAGTCCCCACAGCATCAGAACAAAGAGCCTCTTCTCCAGCACAGCGGCAGAGGCCTGGGGCAGGGGGCTAGGCCGTAGTAAATTAGCTGTTTTAAAGGACCCTTGGGAGCAGCTCCACAGAAGGCTGCAACTTGTTTTCTATGACTAGGCCCTTTTTCCCCAGCGCTCTGTCCCCCGGCTGCTGTGGCGCAGCCGTGCCGTGCCAGAGGAGAGGCCGTGCCGAGCGTTGCAGAGGAACCTGCCAAGGCAGTCGGGAGAGAAGCATGTTTGAAAAATGAGGTTTTTGGAAAAGGAACCCATTTTGGAAGCTCATTTCTCACACAGCCTGGTCTGTTAGCGCCAAATGGATTCCATTTGCCAGGCCTGAAAGCCGAGGCCCGGCGGGTTCTTTGCCAAAGACACAAGCCCGTTTCTTCCTACAGTTTCTGAAGCTCACAGCACTCATCTGGAGGGACAGAGGGAGCTTGGGCACAGTCCCAGCACGCAGGAGACCTAGACATGCTGCCATGGCCTTTGTTGAGGGGGAATGACGCTGACATACTGCTGGAGAATACATAGCTGGGGGACCAACATTTGTCCTTGACAGCTAATAAAAACGATGGAAACACCCAGCCAAAGACTTTAAGACACAGTTAAGGTTGTAAGTATGTATCAGTAACTTATAAAAAGTCTTGGCAAAGCTTTGCACCCACATGGTGACTATCACAGATGTCTGCCTAAGTCTGCAGACAGACGGATAGGACAGCCTGGAGAGGAGTGAAGGGCCCCTAATCATCTCAGAGGTGTGTTGACTCTGAAGCCTAATAATGATCATTGAAATGGCAATAAAGTTCACTATTTCGCTGCTAACCTAGACACATAGGGAAGGACCAGGAGGGTTGTTCTACGAAGATCTGCACAAGTGGCAGCAAGCGGAGTGTCCTTTCAGCATCTCCACTGGGGGGAGGCTGGTTTGTGGGCTGGGCTTAGTACAGCAACCCCTGGCCTGGGCTGTGTCAGACGGCTAGGGAACGCCAGTGGGACTGACTGGGCCGGGAGCATAGGTCACCGCGTAGGAAGGCTGTGGGAGGAAAGTGTGACCAGCTCAGATCCCCACCCTCATATGCGGACGCCTGCTGGCCCTGGGCCCCACGCCAAACAGCCAGAGTAACTCCACTTGGTGCAGGGCTCTCAGTGCCCAGACCCAGGGGCAGCCCCGTGGCCACTATTCCACTCTGCACTGGATCCGCCCTGTCCCCACCCACTCCTCACTCCCGGACCCTCTCCAAAGGCCCTGCACTCCCTGGGAACCTCAGCCCAGGGAAGCCACACTTGCAGGGGGAGAGCCCTGGAGCCCTCCATTCTGGTCCAGTGTTCAGAGGAGCACCTTCCAGCTCCCAGGCAGCCCCTTGCAGACACAGCTGTGCGCTGTAGCTTTAAGACTCCTCCCCTCACAGCCCACTAGGTCGGGGGGGAACAAAATCGGACACTTTTTTCAGTATGAGCAAAAACAGCCAGTTGCCTTTTCCATTCATTTTCCACACGGCCCCCTGGGGACACAGCCCACTGAAAGGGCTGATTGTGCCCCTGCAAAGGGGCGCGCACAGGTAGGGCGGGAGCAGACAGCACCTCCAGGAGAACATGCATGGCACTTGGCTGGTCGCCGAACGGGCAGCTGGGGACCGTGGGTCGGGCCTGCCAGGCTGAGATCCAGACCAAGCCGCCATCTCCAACACACGCAGCACAGCAGCACTGTCCAGCTCCATGCATGGGGGACAGGGACACGGGCATCCGGCATGTCAGAGGGTCCCCACAAAGCCCCCAGTGATTCTTCCAACCCCATCCAGAGTACATGGGCCTGCTCCTGGCAACGCTGCCCAGGGAGTGTGCTGGGGACACTCACTGCTGGCAATGCCCAGGAGCGACTCAGCCTAACCCCTGGCATGAGGGAGAGCCTGGCTAAGCGCCGTCTCCCTCGGGGGAGAGGAGGCCCCTCTCGGCTCTCAATGCAAGGTTTGTCCTTCGAGAGAGGCTGAGAGCTTTGCTTGGAAGAGACAGAGCAAACCTTCTCCTGCCCCACGCAGCTGCTAGCCCAGCCCAGGCCCTGAATGGAGGTCTTTATGCAGCCGCCACCACCACGGGCCACACTCGGGTGACCACAAATGGCAGCAAATAGCTGTGAAGTTTGTGTTTCCCTGCCGGCAGTGGCACCCTGGCCAATTAGGGTATGGCTTCCATCACACACCGGCCCCGAGCGCCCGACAGGCCCGCCCAGCCTCACACAAGGACGCCTTGTTCTCTCCCGGGGCCAGGGATTCAGCTACCCCTTCTCCATGGCACACACCTACCGAGGCAGGAAATCCTGCAGGACCACGCTGGAGGTTCGAGGTAGAGTGAGCTCAGGAACAGCTAGACCCGGCTGGTGAGATGGTAGCACCATGGGGAGGCAGGTGCCGCTGCCCGATGCCAGCAGCTGAGGAGGCCCCAACCCCCATGACAAGCCGCTCCCTGCTTTCTCCAGACAGGGAAATGAGGCTCAGGAAGAAAGCAAAGGCCAGGCCAGGCGTCAGGGCCCTAGAGTAGCTTCCACTCATACGTACTTTTCCCACCATTCTTCTTCAGGATGTTACACAGGCTGATTGAAGCTGTTCCTAGCAGCTCGTTCCTCAGGGTGTGGCAGCTCCAGACCTTCAGATCCAGGTGGCTTTGAGCTGTGACGTTCCTGGAAGGCAAACCAAGAGGAGGGCTGTCATCTCCCCACCTGCTTCTCTGATGCCAAGCTAGCAGAGCAGGACCAGGCATGCCAGGCACAGAGGGCAGAGAAGAGGCCAGGGCAAGGCCCTCGGGACACCCAGGCCCCCACTAGCTTCTCCATCCAGCACAGCACATGCACACCTGAGCGTGCACCCTAAGCCCCTTCCAGCCAGCCAGTGGCAAACGTTCCAGGCTTCCTTACGCAGCACGACCCAGTGCAGAAGTAGGGAGCTCAGTGCCAGCTCTGGGGTGCCTGCATTAGCCCCAACCCCCTGGAGTCCCCAGGGGTTCTTACACTATGAGGATCTCATTCCAGAACAGCTCAGAGCTCCCAATCCGCTTCCCTGTCTTCTTGGTCTCACTGGGAAGTCCATCCACCATCACCTCCACGTAGGAGTTGATCCGGGACTGGCGGCTGTGCACCTTGGGTTTCACTGACACAACTAGGCAGAAGGGAAAGAGGCAGAGAGTCACGCAGCTGTAGGCAATATGCAAGTTGTCCCCACCCAGAGAGGCCCAGATGCCACACAGCAGCTGCCAGCCCAAGAAACCAGGGCCCAAGGTTTACTACTGGCAGCCGGGTCTCATGAGCCAGACAGGCAGACATGTCCTGGAGACCAGGGAAAGGCAAGGCCCCCCAGCCTGGGACCCAGAAATCCCCCCACCCTGAAGGGCACCCTAAAAAGGGAATAAAAAATAGGAGCCATGTGAAAAGAAGTGCAGACAGAAGTCAGGGAAGCAGTTCCAGGTATCTGGAGCCCCCTGGTGGCCTTAACAGAGTTCTGCACACACTCCACCTCCCCTAAAGCCAAGGAGACCAAGGCATCCACCGGTGATGGCCCGGGGACAGAGGGAGAAGGGGAAAGCCGGGCAGACAGCCAGACAGCTCCCACGGCTCACATTGCCTGGACATGCAGGGAGACCTTCCAGCCTGGCACCATTCACCAGCACCAGTTTCAGAGGAAGCCCCAAGAGGCTGAAGGTTTGACGATAGGGAATGCACCCTCCAAGAGATAGCCTCCCTGGCTCTGCCTCTGCCCGCAGAAAGACCCCATCCTTCCTCCCCCGACTCTCCACATGTCTGGGGCTACGAGGCTGCCAATCCCCGACCCGGGGGAAGCACCAGGAAGAACACATCTTTTAATCTGCACTCTGCTGCACTGGCCCATTGGGGTGAAGTCCATGAGTGACGCTGACGGGCCAGATGCCAGCTCCTGTCTCTCCACGGTAAGACTTACAAGGATTCAGAAGTTCACATTGGTTACTGGCTTGGTGACACCTAGTTACAGAACACACCACCCCACACCAGCCCGGCAACAGCTGAGTGGGCCAGGTGGGCCCAGTCAGCTAATTAGGCTGCAAACAGGGGAGCCTTAGGCTGGAGGCAGCTAATTAGAGAGGCTCCTGGGTGCAGGAACAGGCAGGGCCTGTAAAGCCAGGCAGTGGGCTACAGACTGGGCTGCTGAGAAAGGGCAGTCACTCCCTGGGAAGAGGGAGGAGTGTTTGGGGGCAGTTGCGAAGGCTGCAGGAAGGCAGGCAGCAGCCACTCCTGGGAAGAGGGTTCTGGGAGCTGCCACACCCAGAGAGAGAAGGGGAACCAGAGAGGTAGGAAACAGTCCAGGGAAGGCAGAGAGATGAGCCCAGAACTGCTGACTGGAGGAACTAGAACCCAGAGATGAGGGCAGGTCCGGGTTCCCCTATCAGCTGCTGCCAAAGTGGCACTGGGGCAGTGACAGGGCAGACTGCCTAGCAGTGCTGATGGACTGAACCCCGGAAGGGGGAAACACAGTCACCTAGCCAGAGGGCTAAGTCACAAAGACAACACGGAGGGTCCTGGAGCCGGAGGAGCTGCAGACCGCAGTTGGAGTGACGGCGTGCAAACCGCAGACTGGGGTGTTGACCTCAAGAGCTAACCCCAGAGTGGCCAGGAGGAGGCACCAGCCCAGCAGTGAGTGGAGCACCCTGTGACAGGGTGGCTGTCCTGTTTTTGACAGTCTCCCCAGAGGTAGGCGCTCACAGTCATGGGCTGCTCCAGACAGCATGACCCCCTGCATTCTCTTGGGCACACCCAGTCTCTGGCTGGACTGGTGCAATCGCAGCCTTCACTCGACAATTACTCCCCCCCCAGCCACAGGCTCAGGAGTCCAGGACTAAGGCAATCTCCCTTCCCCGGGGAGCAGGTGGTCACTGACAGGCGCTGCTTGTCTGAAGCTGGCAGGCTGTCTGGGCTGCTGGAGAAGGAAGTTAGGACAAGACAAGCCACACTTGAAAATCCACATTCCCCAGCAGGACCAGAAGCTTCTGGCCTAGCCAGAGTGCCTGCTTCCCCATCTCACAACCCCCGGGGCGCCCACTGCAGCTCTACTCACCTTTCACAGTGAGCTGGGACTTCTCACTGGCCAGCCCTGCCGTGGCCCTGCTGGAGCTAGCAGATGCCATGTCATCACCATGGGACTGGAAAACAGACACAACACCTTAGTACAGCTCCATGCTACAGCCAGGCTACCTCGGGGCTGGGATCTCCAGGGATCCTGTCACCACCAGGACAGGAGACCCCGGTGCGTCGGGGATTCAACAACGGACCAGCAGTGAACCACCCCCTTCACGTGGTATTGGGGGAGCAACGTTGCTGCATGGGTACGGCCATCTTCTACAGGTGTTGTGAGAATTGGTCTCTAACTTCTGCCTGTTCAGGAATTTACCATGCAAAGTAGGTCAACTTATTTTCCATAAAGAACGTTATAAAGAAGTGGAAGAGAGCCAAAGAGAGTAAACAAGTCCCCACAAAGAGCCACATAATTCAAGCACTAGGCTGAAAACATGGTTGGTAAAAACAGAAGATATGGACAGATAAATTTATGAACGAACACTGGGGTGTCAGATATCAGGATTAATTGCTGGACAAATAATAAGGAGATGGGCTATGCCACACCCCACTCCTTTTCTGAGTCCTCGATAGAACAGAGAGAAGCACAGACAGAGGCTACTGAAGTGAGCTTCACCATCATGGCTGGCACTCCCACCATCTCCTGGGATCCCGGGCATTCGTCATCCTAATCCTGAGACAGGTCCTGACCAGCCTGGACCAGAGAGGGGGACCCAGATAACATGGCCACCCCGACCAGCTCCAGGAAATCCCAACCACCACCTGGGATGAAACGGGATTGGACTATAGCAGCAGCTCCAGCCCAGCTAGCCTCTCTTTCCCCCCCAGGGCAGGACTGCCGTCTTTGATGCCATCTAAGAGACCCAGGAAGCGGGTTTTCTCTCCAGCGTACAGGAACAAGGGACATAGTTCATACTTGACATTCCCAGGGCCTTAACTGGGTTTTCCTTCTTTTCTTTCTTTAATAAAAGGTTAAAACCTGTTGGCCAGGGCACGAGATTTCTATATACCTTGTTTAGCACTGTTTTTTATTGGACAATGGCAGGGTTATGTTAACACCTTTGGCCCATTTATTCCGTCTAAATTAATCCAACAGGGATCATTAGAGAGCCCCTGGCACCTGTGTTTCGGTCTGGGCAGGGGTTGGGAGCTGGGATAGCAGGAGGTCACGCCAGTCTGAACGGAGATGCTGACTTAATAGAAATGTGTCTCCTCATCTACCCTCTGCCCTGCACGACCACTCAAGATCCACGTTCTGCTGCCATAAGCACCCTCGGGGTCATTCGACTGGTCGTTTTTCATTCCGGTCTCGTACATACCGCACAGGGCTCCTGTCGAAAGCTCGGCCTGCCCTTGACTTTTAAACACGGAATAAATGTAGATCCAGCCAAAGCAGCAACTCTTCCCCTGCCTCAGACTTCACCAATCACCAGTCACGTGACATAGGCTGCTTACCCCCAACCTCCACTCCCCTCAGCCCGTGGCCAATGCCCACAGCAGCTGGGGTTTGCAAAGTGCCTGGCACAGGAAGGGCAATAAACTCAGGCTAGTTCAGACCTTTCAGGAAGAGCGTTCCAAAGTACAGAGCTTGCTCAGCCCGCAGGCCCCTCCTTTGATGACGGGTGATCAAACTCAAAGGCATCTGCTGATCACAACTCTGACAGCATGGCACAGGGAGAGAGGTGTCCCCCAGGGCTAAGAGGATACAGTTGCCTTCACTTTCTGCCCCACACACTGAACAGGGATGCTGGCTGCATTTGGCTGGTTCGTGACTAGTGTATGTGACTAAACAGCATGAGGATCCTTTAGGAAAGCCCCCACGGAAACAAGATTAACACGACAAACACTTGTCAGGAATGGTCTAGTTCAGTGGTTCTCAAACTTTTTTTTGCGGACCACTTGAAAATTGCTGAGGGTCTCGGCGGACGACTTAATGATCTCTCCAAATGTTGTTTGTACTGTTAGCTAACTACTGTAAAGTGTTTTGGATAAAAGCGCTATATAAAAAAACTTAATTAACTTTTTTTGTTCTACAAACAAAAGCACACAACTCATATTTTAATATTAGTAGTCTTACTTTTTAATGTAATGGACGTGCCCTCTCTCCCCCACCGCAGCAGCCCTCGAGCTGGGGGGTCTCTCCCTCTCTCCCCCGCCGCAGCAGCTGGGGCTGGGCAGGAGGGGGGGGGGTCGCCCTCTCTCCCCCACCGCAGCAGCCCCCGAGCTGGGGCTGGGAAGAAAGGCCGTCTTTCCACAGCAGCCGCAGGCCTGGAGCTGGGGAAAGTCACCTCTTTCTCTGACTGCCGCAGCCCTGCACATCCCAAATTCCCCCCACTCCCTTCTTCTCACCCCACTGCCCCCTCCCACCTACCTCCTATTCCCCCCCAAGGCCACCACCTCACCTTACAAGTGCATCTTCTCCAGGGTCCAGGCACCTAATTAGTGCAGCCACGCCTGCTCGGCTCCACTAGTTAGGTGGGTGGCCCTTCATTCTCTCGTGTGCAGCTGCCCAGGCACTCCTTAGAGGGAACTATCCGCAGACCAGTTTGAGAACCTCTGGTCTAGTTATTACATAGTCCTGCCTTGAGTGCAGGGGACTGGACTAGATGACCTCTCAAGCTCCCTTCCGGTCCTACGCATGCATCTATGATTCTAGGTTACTACAGAGGAAATGAGGGGCCAGGCATCACATGGGAGAGTGTCGGGAGCCCTCAAGGGCAGCCCAGGTCTCTCTCATTAGGGTTTAGTTCCAGAAGGTGGCCTCCGCGTAGGTCCAGGCTCACTGTTAAGATCTCGACTGGCTGGATCCCAAGCCCCGCCAGATGAGATTCCCACTGGATGGCCCCTCCCTAATGAGTCCTGAAGACTGGGATTCAGAGCAGGCTCTTTCTGTGGGCCATGGGTCTCCTGTCCTCACTGACAGTTCTGCAGCATGGCTCAGACAAGTGGAAACTACCCTGGGTTATCCAGAAGTCTTTATAAATAGTCCCATATGACCAACACAAGCAGCAGCACTTGCACAGTTAGGAAACAGACGGATAACACTACGACAGCATTTTATGTCTGTAGCTCACCCTGACAGATCCCAATGCACTTCACAAGCTACATTCACAGAGCACCACCAAAATACAGCCACCTCTGGGGTGGAAGCAGCATCCAGGCGGCACACCACAACAGAACCGAGGGGTCATTTTGGCCAAGGACAAACATCCATTCCCCCGAGATCATCATGGGATATTTAGTGGTTGTGCAGAGCAGAGGGTTAGATAATAGAAATAGGTCTCCTTAAGTCAGCATCTCGTCCCAGGTCCAAACCCTCTGCAGACCCCTAATGCCACCAAGTTATGAGCTGGTTGGGATGTACAAGACTGGGCACCAACTGGCCCTCACTTGTGACCTAGGCTTTGGCCCCTGTACCCCATTCAAGCTACTCTGCATAAAGCGCATGCGTAACTAATGCCGGCTCACAGGCCACTGCATTTGGCATTGAATACCTAGCTTCAGTTTAGCACGAAGGCTGCACGCAGCAAGACTGCCTGCTCTCAGCAGCGCACTGCTGCAGTAGGTGGACTTTCTGCAGCAGCTCCCAGCACATTCAGAACGAGGACTTGCATGGAATTACACAGGAGGTGAAGTCAATCCACACGGTATCTTTCTGACCTAGACACTTCCAGGCCCGGCCCCCCCTTACTGCAGCATCTGAGCACAGAATAGCTCTGCTGCTATAAAGCACCTTTATACAGATCTACCTGCATGCACATTCCGAGGGGATGTACTGCTTTGACAATAGCACTACAGTTAAAGGGCTACACAACTCACGTGTGGACAAGGCCTACGTGACTAAGAAGGTCACACAGGAAGGCCGCAGCAGAGCGGACAATGGAACCCAGATCTTCTAGCCCCGGAGGCGTGTTGGAAGTAGGGTCACCAACTTTCTAGTTGCACAAAACCGAACACCCTAGCCCCGCCCCTTCCCCTGGGCCCCACCCCCTGCTCACTGCATTCCCCCTCCCTCGGTGGCTCGTTTCCCCCACCCTCACTCACTTTCACCGGGCTGGGGTAGGGGTGTGGGAGGGGGTGAGAGCTCTGGCTGGGGTGGGGCTGGATATGAGGGGCTTGGGGTGCAGGAGGGGGCTCCTGGCTGGGGCCGAGGGATTCAGAATGTGGGAGGGGGCTGAAGATTTAGGCAGGGGATTGGGATGCAGGAGGGGGCGCTGGCTCTGGCGTGGGGCTGGGGATGAGGGGTTCAGGATGTGGGCGGGGTGATGGGCTCTGGGCTGGGGATGCGGGCTCTGGGATGGGGCCAGGGATGAGAGGTTTGGGGTGCAGGAGGGGGTGCTGGCTCTGGCGTGGGGCTGGGGATGAGGGGTTCTGGGTGTGGGCGGGGTGATGGGCTCTGGGCTGGGGATGCGGGCTCTGGGCTGGGGA